ATGGGGAGGGTTATCTAGATGATGTTTTTTGTTTTGGGTTTTTTTTTTTTTTTTTGAGACAGTCTCACTCTGTTGCCCGGACTAGAGTGCCCTGGCATCAGCCTAGCTCACAGCAACCTCAAACTCCTGGGCTGAAGCAATCCTCCAGCAATGCCTCAGCCTCCTGAGTAGCTGGGACTACAGGCATGTGCCACCAAGCCCAGCTAATTTTTTCTCTATATTTTTAGTTGTCCAGCTAATTTCTTTCTATTTTTAGTAGAGACTGGGGTCTCACTCTTGCTCAGGCTGGTCTTAACCTCCTGACCTTGAGCAATCCTCCTGCCTCAGCCTCCCAGAGTGCTTAGATGATGTTTTTGAATAGCTCAGCAAATGCTTGCATGTTTTATAACTAGTTTTGTGACTGCATTTTGTGTTGTTACTCTGTTGCCTGCCCCAGCTAGAGTGCAGTGGCATCATCATAGCTCACTGTATCCTAAAACTCCTGGGCTCAAGTGATCCTCCTGCCTCTGCCTCCTAAGTAACTGGGACTACAGGCACACACCACTACACCCAGCTAATTTTTCTATTGTCTGTAGAGACAGGGTCTTACTCTTGCTCAGGCTGGTCTGAAACTCTTGGCCTCAAGCAATCCTCCCATCCTGGCCTCCCAAATTGCTGGGATTGTGAGCCACTGAACCTGGCCTGAATTTTGAATTAGGTTGAATCAAATAGGCTATTAATATATTACTTGCAAGGGGAATGCAAGGATACCCATCATAATGGGAAAGAGTGAAATAACCGGCCAGGTGCGGTGGTCATGTCACACTCGACAGCGCAGGTCCAGAAGAAACCCACTAATGAATCTCCCTTTCCCGAAGAGCAAGATGCCAGCTTCTGCCCAGTATCAGCCCTAGCGTTGGTGGCTAATTTCAGAGGTTCTGAATTGTAGGCCTGATTCTGCCACTTAGTACTGAATAACCTTGGACAAATGACCTCTGTGAGCCCCAGTTCCCTTATCTATAAAATGGTGATGATAATAATAAAAACTGTCATAGAAAAGGAAAGTAACATTTGCACATTGGCTGTATTAGCCATTCTGTACAGACAGAATGATAATGTGTGTGGAAGTGCTTTGAAAAGAGAAAGCTCTATGCAAATGCTAGCTGATAATATTTTTAGCCAGTACGTGACCAAAGAAGTAACACATTGAACATCAAATAAACCTCCAATGCCTTCAATCCTTAAAACCAAGCCCAGTAGTCAGGTGCAGTGGCACTTGCCTGTCATCTCAGCTACTCACTTGAGCCAGTGAGTTTGAGGCTCTAATGAGCTATGATTGTACCACTGCACTCCAGCCTGGTTGACAAAACAAGACCTTGTCTCTAAAGCAACAAAACAAAAAACCCACAAGCTCAGGTATGAACGTTGGTATATATTTACATTTTTGCCAAAGGTCTCATATCACAAATCCCATTCTTAAATAGGACAAATTACTTTAGCTGAAGAGCAGGATCGAGGTCAAGTAGCATTCAGTCATTGGCAGGTTCAGCAAGAACCCAACAGAGTTAACTTCCTGAAGAGCCACACTCGCACACATCCAATTAAGTTTCCTGTCCCTTTCCTTTGCCCTGGGGAGGAGGTGGGGGCTGAATCAACTTCAGCTCATCAATGGGGTGGGAAGGCCAAATTCCGCAGCCCCACCTCCATCTTCATTCACATCCTAGGAAACGCCTGCAGTCGTCCCTCAGCTCTTTTAGGCTTCCCCCCTGGTGGGGAGATTTCCCTTTCTAGCCCTTGGGCAGCAGCACAGCCGGACTCTGACCTCACGGGAGCAATCGCCTAAAAGAGGCTCCGCCCTTGTCCGCTGGGGATGGGCCTGCCGAGCTGGCTTCTAAAAGGAGCCTCTTTCCGGTTCTATCTCCTTTAAGCGCCTCTGTTCTGACCCTGGCCTCCCCCTGGGTGCCGACCTTGATTCTCTCCTAGTTCCCGTAGCCAAGTGCTTCTCAAACTCGACATCACCTGAAGGGCTTGTTAAGACAGACTGCTGGGGCCCCACTCCCAGAGTTTCTGATTCAGTAGGATTAGGGTGGGGCCCAGAGCTTGCACTTTCCCAGGTGATGGAGCTGCTGCTGGGCCAGGGACTCACTCAGAGGGAACCACTGCATCTAGTGCAATGCTGCTCCCAGATAGAGAGGCTCCCCACCCCAGCCGCTCTCCTGCCCTGAGCACCCTGTTAATGGGGAATAGCTGCAGCGGCACAGGAGGCTGGAGACCTGGAAGGCAGGACCTGAGGAGTCTGAGCTTTTTTGGGCACCCCTAGACGGTTTATGCAACTGGGAGCAGGAAAGAAACTTGGAAGCCTATATGGGGTCTTTCATTGACCTGGTTTCTTCATTTCAACACAGTGATTGGGTGCTGGGTCTAGGGTTACAAAGGTGAAAAGGCAGTGTCCTAGTCCTCTGAGAGTTCATAGTAACTAGGAAAGAAACATGCAAACAATCACAATGCCAATAACTGTTGCTATACAGGGAGCCTCAAACTTCTGTGAAGGGTGAATGAGGCTTGGAATCTGTCTGAGGAGCTGGAACAGGTTTCACAGAAGAACCTGCACTTTTGCCTACTTGCAGGACTACTGGGAATTTGGCAGGTGAAAGGGGCAGCTGGGGGTGGGGGTGGGAGGAAGGGTTTTCCCCAGGCAGAAGGAATGAGCAACAGGATTGCCTAAGTGTAAGGTTCCAGCCCGAGCAGTGGTTGGGAGGACTTGTCAGGCGCTTCTCCAGCAGGGCCTGGTTTCCCTCTACCTCCCTAACAGCCCCTTGTCAGCTGCTGTCCCTCCTGAGCTGGTGTGCCCCGGGCTTGTCCTGGCAGCCTGTTCCTCTCACTCTCCATGTCCACTCCCAACAAGCTCCTCCACACCTGAGGCCTCACCCCTGCTCCCTGATGGGGTCTGTGTTTCCCCTCAGCCACACTCACCTCCACATGGAGCACCCAGGCATCTTTTCCCCTGTATTCTGTCCGCATGAATGACAGGAGCATCGGCCTAATTACCTAAGCCAGAAAGGTTTTTGAAATGACCCCTTTCACCAATTGCTGGCGAAGAGTAAATTGGCACAGTAAATTGCTGGTGCCATTTACCAAGATAGAATACAGGAGGAGGGCTTCTAGGTGCATTTTTGAGTCCACAACTTGCTGAGTGACTTTGGGCAAGTCACTTAATCTCTGTTTTCTTATCTGTAAAGTGCGTTTGATGATAGTACTTACAAGACAGTTGTATGGGCTAAACAGTAATAATGGTTGCTATTTATTGAGCCCTATGTTAAGCACTTTACTTGGATTCTCTGAGTTGAGGAGTACCTAGTCCAAGGTCACACTGCCAGCAAGTGGTAGAGTCAGGTCTGGAAACCAGAGTTCTCTTGCTCCTGAGCTATCTTCTTCACCTTTTGCCATGCTTTCTGGAGATTGTGTAACAAATGGGAAATGTGTATGGTATAATGTTAAGTGGAAAATGGACGGCAAATTGCATAATCGGTGTGAATACAATTTTTTTTTTTTTTGACAGTGTCTCACTCTGTCACCCAGGCTGGAGTGCAGTGGCATCATCATAGCTCACTGCAGCCTCCAACTCCTGGCCTCAAGCCATCTTCCCACCTTGACCTCCCAAAGTGCTAGGATTACAGGCTTGAGCCACCACATCCGGCCCTACCTATAACCATGCTTTTTAAAAAGGAAACTAATCCACAAACAGAAAAGGCTAGAATGAAATATGGCAAATAGTTAACTATGGTTGTATCTGGGTCATTTTTTCTTCTAATTATCTGTATTTTCCACATTGAAAACATTAAAAATTTATTACATTAAAAACAAGGTTGCAAGTCCACTGCCTGTTCTCCTATTTGATTGAAAATTACACTCTACTGGTATTTCTTCTTCGTTCTAGTCTTACTTTCCTGAACAGAAACTCTTTAGTCTTCCCAAAGGCCACAGTAGGAAGTGGATATTGCAGCCATGTTTACCACCCACCCCACAGCTGACAACCTGGCCACTGGAGCCGGCTGTCAAAATCAGGCCTGCGAAAGGGAAGTTCAGACAGAGCCCGGGCTTCTACCGCCTAGGGCTTTCTGGACAGCGCTACTTCAGATCAGTTACTTCTTTTTCCCCCCTTCTAAATAGCCGGCCGAATGCTCTTTTTCCAGTTCTGGCTGAGTTGTTAGCTTCAGCCGGGTGGGGACGCCTGCCAGGTACCTGGCTCCGTGAGCACTGCCCGAACTGGTCAGGCCAGTCTGCCCTGTGGCTGTTTCTGCCAGGACTTGCCCATGTGTGTGCGCGTGTGTCAGAGACCCACCCTTCTCCCCTGCAACCCAGGTAGGAGGAAGGCAGCTGCAGGCACCAGCCTGGCAGTCGGTCCAGATGGGTGGAGCTGAATTAATCTAACCTGGAATTTCAACTTGGCCTGCACAACAGGTGAGGGGAAAAAAAAAAGCAGCAGAGAGAACGGACAGTTTAGCAACTTGGAAAAATTTTTGCGCCTTGCCCCTTACCCTCTGCCTGGAACATAGCCCAGGGTGACTTTTCAAAGTGTCTGCGCCAGGTTCTAGGGCTCGGTCACGCCACGGCCCCCTCGGAGGCTGTCCGAGCCTCTCTCTTGTACACTGTCCTGCTCGGTTACCCTCCGCGACGCACCCGTTACCCCTCCTCTGGGAGGCAGGGCGGGGGTATCGGATTAGTCTTTGTTTTCGACGCGAAAGAACCGAGCGCAGGGGAGGCTTTCGATGGCAGGGCCCTGGGGTCTCCCTGGGCAGGGCACTCGGCCGTGACCCCTGCGAGGGTGCCCACAGCCTCTGCCCCCGAACACCCCCTTCTTGCCAGCCGGGTTGACTCGGTACGCAAACGCGCGATGTCCCCCATTGTCCTGCCTTGGAATGAGCGAGCAGCTGCCCGGGCAGGGGGGTCAGTCGGGCCCGAAGCCCAAGGCTCCTGGGAGCGCCGGGGCCGTCCCGGACCGCTCGGGCCCGCAGGGAGTGGCAGGAAGTGGGGACACCGAGGGCGGCGTGGCGGAGGGCCTAGGCTGGGAGGTCCGCGTGCCCACCCTGCCTTGCCGGGCCCCCGCTGCAGTACCGCCCGAGGGCCCGGGCGGCCAGCCGGATATATACATATATAATAATATATAGTATATATCCCAAATTCTACATGCCAGAGCAACCCTACTTAGGATCAGAGTATGTCCCAAGGTATTGAACCAGGAAAGTTTGGGTTGAAGAAAAGTCTCTACCTGGAGCTAGGAGAACCCAGTGGTACTATCTAAGACACACCTTATTTTTGAATACAGGATGAAATGGGTTTGTTAGTTTGGGATGGGGTGGGCTTTGTAAGAGGCTAAGCAATCATTTCTTTGTAAAATGTTTTGCCTACAAAGGTGGAATTGCCAAATATGTGTTCCTAAACACACACACACACAACACTTTTTTTTTTTGAGACAGGGTCTCACTGGTCACCAGGCTAGGGTGCAGTGGCCTCATCATAGCTCACTAAACCTCAAACCTCCTGGGCTCAAGCAATCCTCCTGCCTTAGCCTCCTGAGTAGTTGGGACTACCAGGCATGCATCACTGGCTATTTTTTCTATTTTGTTAGGGATGGGTTACGCTCTTGTTCAGACTGGTTCAAACTTCTGACCTCAAGCAATCCTTCCACCTCAGCCTCCCAGAGTGCTAGGATCACAGACAGGCCTGAGCCACTGTGCCAGCCAAGTTATGTCTATATAGAATATGCATTTATACATTGAGACCTGTAGAAGAAATGTTGGTAACTATTTCCTGACCAAGGAATATTTCTAAGCATAAATTAATAAGTGCTCCTGTCAAAAAACAAATTAAATGATAACCCAGGAAAATATTACACAAACAAATGAACAGAAAGGTGTTGTATACTTAGTTTAATATATAAGAAAAGATGAACACCAAAAGGAAAAAAACATTCACAAAAAAGAAAACAAATGGCCAATAAAGATATAAAAAGTCACCTTAATAATGATAATGAAATGACAGGTCACAAAATAAAAATACTCAGTTTTGCAGAGACTGTAACATTTTTCTTCCAGGATGTGCCACTGAAGGGGACATAAATTCTGATACTTTCTGAGAAGCAATTTAGCAATGTTTTTAACAGCCTTCAAAATATTATATCCTTTTCATTCAGTAATTGTAGTCTAGGAAAGTAGTGCATAAAATCTAGGTACAAGGATTTTTTTTTTTTTTTTTTGAGACAGATCTCCACTTTGTTGCCCAGGCTAGAGTGAGTGCCGTGGTGTCAGCCTCACTCACAGCAACCCAAACTCCTGGCTCGAGCACTCCTACTGCCTCAGCCTCCCCAGTAGCTGGACTACAGGCATGTGCCACCATGCCCGGCTAATTTCTATATACATCAGATGGCCAATTAATTTCTTCTATTTATAGTAGAGACGGGGTCTGACTCTTGCCAGGGTGGTTTTGAACTCCTGACCTTGAGCAATGCGCCCGCCTTGGCCTCCGCCAGAGTGCTAGGATTACAGGTGTGAGCCACCGCGCCCCGGCCTAGTACAAGGATCTTCATGGAAGACTATATTATTATTTTTATTTTTGAGACAGAGTCTCACCTCTGTTGCCCCAGCTAGAGTGCAGCTGGTGTCAGCCTAGTTCACAGCAACCTCAACTCCTGACTCAAGCAATCCTCCTCGCCTCAGCCTCCTGAGTAGCTGAGGCTACAAGTGCGGCACCACAGCCCTGGCTAATTTTTCCTATATATTTAGTTGTCCAGCTAATTTCTTCCTATTTATAGTAGAGATGGATCTTGCTCTTGCTCAGGCGGTCTTGAACTCCTGATCTCAAAGATACACCCGCCTTGGCCTCCCCGAGTGCTAGGATTACAGGCATGAGCACCATGCCCAGCCAAGTCTTATTTATAATAGCAAAAGAAAAAAAAGAAAAAAGAACCTAATGTTTAGCATTCAAGAATGATTAAATATTTATGAAGCATGAGCATATTGGAACATCATGCAGCCTTATTATATTTTATTACTTTAAAATTAAACAAATACAGATTAATTTTAAAAAATATACAAATGAGCAAAAGAAAATCCAAAAGAATCTGCAGTCCAGTAAATAATCATTGGTAATGTCATGGACCATATATTCAAACATTTATATTATTTAATATAAAATAAGATTTTTAAGAACATTTGGTAACATCAGTGAGAAATGTCCTGCAAAACAGAAAAAATAAAGAACAAACATTTGGTAGGCTGGTGTGGTGGCTCACACCTGTATCTAACATTCTGGGAGGCTGAGGCAGACAGATCATTTGAGCTCAGGGTTCGAGACCAAGCCTGAGCAAGAGTAAGACCCTGCTCACTAAAAAGTAGATAAGAAATTAGCTGGACAAGCTAAAAGAATACATACATAAAAAATTACC